GGATGGCTATAATGAAGGCGTCTCATAGTCACCGCCCGTTTCGCCCTTCCACAAATAAGATCCACTTCCACTTGTAATTCAGCGACCGGTGGTCATCTTTGTTTTCGTCGTTTGCCTTTTCTTTAATAGATGTCACTACTTATACAATTGCGACTTCGGTGTATTATTCCGATATGTTAATACAATCCGTTAACAGAGGGCAGCACAACGCGTAACAAAGAAAACTTTTTACAGTAGTTAGTAGATACCTCTCTTTGTAAATCTAGTGACCTTGTTTCCCTTATTGAGAAGTTCAAATGGAGTATAGTGCTCAGCTGCATTTAAGTTCATTTAGTTCTTATTTAAGTATACTTTGCCCTCTGTTAACGGATTATATTAACATATCGGAAAACTGAGTCGGAATAAGTAGTGACATCTATTAAAGAAAAGCCAAACGACGAAAACAAAGATGACCACCGGTCTCTGAATTACAAGTGGAAGTGGATCTTATTTGTGGAAGGGCGAAACGGGCGGTGACTATGAGACGCCTTCATTATAGCCATCCTTCTCTATCGCACGGATTTCTATGACTAACTGTATCGCTTTCACGTAACGGTCCATGTACCATGGGGACTTTCCGACCCTGTATAGTATTTATGTAGACTAGCAAAAGGTTTCAAAATAGTGAATTATTCCATAACACATTAACATTTAGTTTTCAGGTACTGTTTAATGCATAAGCAGCTCATTAGAGTTATTTTAATTGTAACAAAATAGCAGACAAATATGTGACTTTTCGAAAAAAATTGTAAGGAAAGATTATTTCTTTTGACGAGTTAAATGTGAGGTTATAATTTTGACACTAATTAAATTAAATAGGTTACGTAAACTTTTCATGCGAATAGTGAGATATTTATTACTTCTGTTATTTGGTACATTATAAACTCGTTAAAAAGCAACTTGCATGAAAATTTAATTTCTTCTGGAACTGAATATATTTGTATTCTAACTATAACTGACAACAATAGTGGTAAAAAAATTAATTTCTTTACTGCTACAAATTAATCGTAGATGTTGAATGAACAAATTTAAACTTTAACAAGTGACCAAGAACGCATTGTGACGTCATTTAGTGCGACCGAGGACACTACTTGTTTTTGGCTGTGTGTCGATTAGCCTAAAGAAACGTACATACGGAGAGCCTCGAAGCATAGCGTATTTGACTATTTCTAGACTCTTCTTACTTACTATGCCAATCCTGTCCGGTCTCTTATCCATCACTAATAGACGTTACGAATTAGCGCGGTAACCAACACCTGTTTAAAACATTTATTTTGTGCGCCAAACTTTAACAATTAATTGTTAATTAACAATCTCTAAGACACTTTTAATATTTTCACTAACTGATTATATAGGATGTTATATATTCGTAATATATTATTTCTAGACGTTTTAAAAAATATATGCAAGTTGCCCATCATCATATATTATCGTTTCTTTGCTGGCAGTGCCTCGGATCAATCCCTGGTACTATGTTTCTTTTCCGACAGAATATTGGCTTCGAAGTCAGCGATTTGTGTGTAGAAAGGGGTGGCATACTACTATTATATAAATTATGAATTTGTAAAGACCTAGTCGGTACATTTTTTTATTACTTACATCCTATGTACACGGCGAAAGCCGCCAGCAGCAGCAGAAGAAGAAAGGTGGCGATGATGCAACAGCCGCATCTGTATTGTGAGGTTAGTTTTTTCCTGGTGAATCGTATGTCCGAGTCCGAGGACAGTATGGAACTGGGAGATCTTCGAAAATGTCTGTTGGCTGTGCCAGCGGAACTCATCGACATCTGCAAAAGAATTTTATTGTTTAAATAAAGTTTGTTATTAAATATTATTTTGCATAGTGGGAGGCAGAAAAACCGAGAAAGTTAAAAGGTACATTTTCAGAAGTCTACATTAACTTTTTATTAAGAATTTGAAATCCGTACAAATATTAGGTTTGTCCCTGTAGCAGTCTCAAACTGCTTCTAAACTATCAGATATACTTGGGCACTTCTCACGTACTTTCAGCTAGTCAAAGGTCACGAAACAGTTGGTTAAATATCTCTGATAGTTTCAAATCATTCCTCATGCTGCAGAAACAGACTACTGTAGCAACTTTTCTGCAAACAATTCTACTGCGTCTACTCATATTTTTATTTTAAAGTTTCGGCTTTGAGACATTTTTCTGCATGAAAAGAGTAATCAAAGATAAAACTGATTATCATTTTTCGAAACCGAAATGTTGAAATAAAAGTCACAATTTGCGAAAAATTGCTATAGTAATGTTTTAACAATTCCAAACAAAATGGATACAATACATTTTTAAAAATGCAACATTTTTTTTCGAAATATCTATATAATGAAAACAAACCGATAAATCAGCGACAGAATAGTATATTGTCCATTCGGCTATACGGTGAAAAGTCATATTAAAATTATTTATACTTCTTAAGACTGATGATTTGCATTTTTCAATGGCATCGTCACTATTTTATTGAATGCCTGAATCTTTCAAATAATTATTAACACGATATTAACTTTTTTTAAAGGGGAATGAGAAAATGCAAGTTCCTTTAATAACATCTTCAATTGATGCCATATTATTATTCAGATACTCGTATTCTTTAGTAAGTTCTAGAAAGTAAGCTTGGGTGATTTGAATATTTTCGATTGTTTTTCTGCGTAAAGTTCACCGATTAAGGACATTTGCCCAACCCTGTGCACACTTTTTTAACGTCCACGGAAAAAAAATCAATAAAACTATATCGAGGTCAGAGTATGCACACAACTAAATAAAGCAAAAAGGAAACAGCAAATACCACAGAACGTTTCGGGTAAGGGAAACTTATATTGAAATCGCTTTATTTAACAGTCAATTTATGATATAGTCAATAATTGTTTCAAAATGAACTAGATACCTGTATGAGGTGAATTAGCAACTTATTATACAATACAGCTGTCGTTATTTGCGTTTCTCTTGTTTTAGAGCGATACGCGTTAACTTTGTTTTTTGCTGAAATTAATATCGAGCAGAACCGTACTTAGGAATTTTAAGATTATACTTTTTATTTGAATAATTTCTCGCTGTTTTCCAACAGATGGTAATACAGCTATAAAGAAGTACGATAAGCAAGCTTAAAATTCAGTGTATGTTATTTCGCCTACGTGTAAACTATTTTTTTTTCATACTGTTAAACATGTCGAATTTCGTGTATTTACGGGGAATTTCACTACACTACTTTATTCAAAAGAAATGTGCAACTGAAGCACACAGAATTCTTGTCGCAAATAATATATAGAGGTTGGTTTTGAAGCTTAAAAAATAATGATTTTAATGTCGAAGATAAATAACGCTCTGGCGCACCGAAACAGTTTGATTGAAGGCATTATTTCATGAAGACTCATGTTAGACGCTATTTGAAGTTGCACTCATTAGGAGTTGATACACAACACGGAACGTTTGAAAGCATTAAGAATGATTCAAAAACAAGGACATTGGGTGGTGTACGAGTTGAAGCCGAGAGACGTCGAACGGCGTCTTTGGATGTGTGAACAGCTGCTTCAGGGCAGACAAAGAAAATCGTGGGGCAAGCTCGACCATGCGTCAACATTATCAGCAATGCCGAATATCCATGGATCCAACCTTCTGTTCTGCATCTGGCGGGATCAGCTAGGCTCAGTTTATTATGAGCTGCTCAAACCTGATGAAACCATCGTGGAAGATCGCTATCGACTAAAATTGATGCGTTTGAGCCGAGCCTTGAAGGAAAAATGGTCGTTATACGAGAGGAGACACCATAAAGTGATTTTGCAGCATGATAACACTCGGCCACATGTTGCAAAACCGGTGAAAACCTTATTGGAAACGCTTAAATGGGAGTTCTACCCCACCCGCAATATTCACGAGATTTCGATTATCACCTCCGATCGATGGCCTGCTTGAGCAGCACGTCCATTTTTATAGTTTAGGAGCCAGATAGGGTTCCGTGGCCAATCAGAGTACCATGACTGCAAACAACTTATTCGTAAGTATTTCGACCCTAAATCCAAAAAACTTGGTTGCAAAGCCTGAAAGTGGCCAGTTTAAATGGCTATAAAAAGTTTATTTTTATAGCTAGTACAATTTTGTATGCATTAAAAGTTCCGTTTTCTCATAACAAACATATTATACTTTTTTGAAAATTAAAAAAAGGTTAACTTTAACCAAAGTTATTGCAAATTTAGTGCAATAACCGATTTTACCATACCTCTGGTTCTATGGGACGGATCGAGACGCACGACATCTCATTGTAAAGCTTGAACTATATTTTACAAGATCGGTAAGTTCCATTAATTAATTAATTAATTTAATAATTAATGGCAGCTTAGAAAGTTGTGAAACTTCAATGAAAATACTGGTTTTATTTGTTTATAAGGCCTTTTTCATTATTCAACTTGGATGAAAGGCCAAAAAGGTTACTGGATATTGTGCCTCGCATCCTAACAATCATTTCATGCCTTATAGTTATTAGTTTTTCTTTATCAAAACCCGGGAAGAGACGCGCGTACGTCGAGAGCGTTGTACGCGCGCTCGATCGCATTCTCAGAGTGCAAGTGCACTATATGTTTATATGTTTTTGATGTTAATCTATTTATTAAACAAGAATTACAAATACCATTCGGTTTTTGGAGGAGATCGTACAAACTATTTGATCAATTTTGGAGAAGGTAAAAAGTAGTTCATTATAAATTTCATTGTAAAGGCATTAATAAAATTAATCATATAACCGCTAGTTTAATTAAAAATGTGATGTTTCATTTTATAGATTATTCAGAAACCACTATCGAAGCAAATATTAAAATGACAGAAGAATATTTAGTTAAAGTCGTAAAGAAAGGTACAACCTGTAAGAAGTTTGATGACCTACAAGTATGGTCTTATCGCCTTTTAAAATCCACTTTAATAGAAGAGCTGCCTCCTACAAGTGCGTTAAGGTGTATATATATAGTTTACAATCAGGTAAACTGTTTAAATAGCCACGCTGTAAAGTTAGACCCTCACATGTTCGAATGGATAGATGATGGAGAAAAAAAATACAAATATTGCTTCCTCCACCAGACGAACTGATCACTAATTGTACATGCAAAGTATGCTCTAAAGAAGATCATGTGTTTGTGTGGCTGCAGAAATTAAATGTTGCTCATTTTGCTATTGCCAAAGGCAAAGCACCTGCAAAAATGTCTATAATGAGCCCATTATTAAAAAAGAAATAAATTAATTAAAATCTTTAAACAATTGTTGTTATTACTTATGTAAATCTTATAAATATCAGTAATTAAATCAATAGTTAATGTTTTTTTATTATTTAGTCTTTGTGACTTCTTAATAATAAAAGTTTATAACACGTCGCGCTCTTGCCCTCTGAGCTTTCGATCGTCTCTTCACTGGTTTCGATGAAGAAAAACTAATAACTATAATGCATGAAATGGTTGTTAGGATGGGAGGAACAATATCCCGTAACTTTTTTGGCTTTTCATCATTTTGGTTGACATTTCACTTTCTAAGCTGCTATTCCTTGTTAAATAAATAAATTAATAAATGGAACTTACCTAATTTGTAAAATAAAGTTCAAATTTTAAAATGAGATGTCGTGCGTCTCAATCCGTCCGATATAACCAGAGATATGGTAAAATTGGTGCGCGCGGAGACGGAAAATGTAATATTTGCACTAAATTTGAAATAGCTTTGGTTAAAATTAATCTTTTTTTATTTTTCAAAAAAATATGTGTTTGTTATGAGAAAGCGTAACTATTAACGCATACAAAATTGTACTAGCTATAAAAATAAACTTTTTACAGCCATTTAAACATTTTATTTGTTAATACAACAATTAAACTGACCATTTTCAAGCTTTGCGACCAAGTTTTTTGGGTCAAAATACTGGCTAGCGATGGACAATACTTTCAGTGACATGTTTTTTATTTAAATAAAGCATTGCTTTTCACGAAAAAAACAGCGACAGAGAAACGACAATATTGCATAAACAGTTGATGAGTTACCCGTTACCGTTATTTGCAGGAATGAGAGAAACTTTTTCCATTCATACCTGCATAGTAGATTCTTCATTCATAACTATGTACATTTGAAAACAGTGTGATTCGACTAGATTTTTGATACGTGTATCAGATAAACTACAGCTTCTTAGAAACAAAACAAAGGGTGATCGCTAAGTATTTACTTAATCTGAGACTTATTTCGAATAAATACCTATAATCTAAAAATATATCAATAGATCTATTGAGAATGAGATAATACAGAAATACCAATCTGTGATATTTAAAAATAATATGTAATTTGATTAAAAATCAAAACAATTAAAACGTGATAATCATTACTATCATTTAAACCTGAACTCCTCGTAGACGTCTTAACATAATTTCGATCAAAATTAAGAATTTTAATAAAGTCCTGGGTCGATTTTATGATGCACCATGTAAAACTTAACCAAACGTTGTTCATTCATCAATCAATTGTTGCCAACAGCTGGCAAGAATTTTTATTTATTGTTTCTTAAAAGTAAAAGGAAATATGTGGCGGTACCGATCAATCAGCGATAGAGCTGATATAGTAAGGTACTGTGCTAAGGTGGTCTTGAATTTCGCCTGACGCGTCGGTACCACCAAAAAAATGTTTCTTCTAAAACAAATACTTGTTCCTTCTCCCACTTAGTTGATTTTTATTCATTGGATGTAAATTAACAACCTTTTTGTCTTACGCAACTGTATAAGCGTCGTAAACAGTCTCCTTTTTGGTGGATTGTCAGTA